CCTGCAGCACTTCAGTGCAGGAGGAGGTGCCTGTTCTTCGGCAGCAGCCTCATCTTCTCATTTGCTCTGTAGTGCCATAGATTCACCTGAACTGCCCTTCCGAGAGGCTTCAGAGAGAGACACATCCAGAGGGCAGTTCTGCTGCCAAAGAGCACATGGAAGCCTGCTCGGATGCAGGGGTGGGTTTGCAACAGGAAGACTTCTGAGTTGCCTTGAATTAAATTGTCTCTGAATAGCAGGGTTCCACTCCATCTTTAGACTCATGGGATTATCGGTTCTGATTTAAATATGTGTTTAGCATTAGAGTAAAATGTTATGTCAATACATGGAAGACTGGTTGCCTATTTCAGCCGCTGCTGTTTCCACCATGTGTCACAGATTAGAGCTGGCCCTGGACGGGGGCCAGGCTGGTGCTTGATATGCTCTAAATCCAAAGCAGTATATGAGAGATGTTTTCTAGCCTGAGTGTGGGTGATCTGTTTGATAAACTATATGACATATTGTTCTTCTTAATGCACTCTATTTATGTTTTTGTGTGAACAGGAGTAAAGGTATTGAACTGTCATAATTCCGTACTTAAAATCTCTCCCGCAGGAATGACCATGGATGGCAAACACAGCACGTGCTCAGGGCTTTCCATCCGCTCCGCTGGCTTAATTAACTGCAAATAGTCAGGCCACTGGCTTTGAAAACTTAATAGGTGGTGTCGGTGTTTCGCTGATGATACAGAAAGAGCCTGTAAAGGCACGGGCCGCCCTCCTGCTCGTTCCATATCGTGTTAGTCCTCAAAGTGCCAGTGTAGCGTAACGTCATCTGCATCTGCAGGGCGATGCTATGGGAATCTTGGCTTAGTCCAAATAAAATTATTAATCTATGTGTCTCCCAGGAGGTCTGAATGATTAGCTACCCTCTGCTGTTTCCAGGAGGTAGCCTGAAGAAATTAAATGTTCTTTAACACTTCGCTTAAAAAACAAAGTGGAAACCAATATGAAAAAGCTGAAGGAAAAAACCCCCATGAGTGTAAACAGCTATACACTGTAATGTGACAGCTAATCTAAGAATTGTTAGATGTTTAAGATATAATTACTGTATATTAACTAGATGAGATCTACACAGAGAGTCTGATGAGCTTGCCAGAGAAATAAACCGCAAAGTACTAGCTGGCCTGATTTATTTTTTTCCATCATCATGTTTTAAATGTTCATGCATACTGATTAAAATTTAGGTTAGGGTCGTGAAAGCTGTTGCCAAGTTTTGTCACTCAGGGATTTTTAGATGCTGTAGATTTAACCCTCTGTCTGTCCTTTTGATGGCTAGCTTCCCAGATACCTAGGGCAGATAATATTCTGCCTTGTCCAGCTGAACTGATGCATTCAGACTTCCTGAGGAAAAAGCCTCTTGAGTACTTCTAAAATATTTATTTATCCAGGATTCTTCTTACTGAATTTACTGTTTTCTAAAACAGGCTGTACTGTGTTGGCCTGGCATGAGATAATATGTTTGAGTTCACTCTTTCATTCCTATGGAATGATATTTGAGATGCACATTTTTTTCGTTTTTTCTAGAATATCAGGGGAAAATAATTTCAAGTGGAGAGAGAATTTTGCTGAACATCTGGGGGCAAAATGGGAAAAGTTTGATAAATGGCATCTTGCTGACATGTAATAGCAACTAGCTCAGGAAGGAATCTAGGGCATTGCAAATAAAAGGATTTTTGTTAACTGTAGTTCAATTGGATATGTGGTTTCGTGCGTACAGTTGACAGTAACAGATTATTCAGATTGTCAGATTTAAAAAAGTGAAAAAGTTCAGACTTAAGTCATACAGAAATCTTAATTTCGGGAGCAGCCGTGTCTGTGTACAACAGAGATGGACATTTTTTTGACTACTTAACTCATCAGAGAAGTTTCTTGTTCAAAATGGGTATTCTGTTCAGAGTTTAACTACTGTAGTAAGTATGTGAAAATATTTCATAAACTGATTATGGTATTGTCAGGTTGTACTGATAACTGCGTAAGTTTAAATACTTTCACGTGTAAGTGTCCAACTGTTCAATTCAGTCATTTTATGTTTGAGACACATTGACTTTAAAACTTGAGCGTGATTTTGATTTTATCCATCACACACGGAGTACCCTTGTCCATAAGCTTAAATACTCTCAAATGAGCCAGAATCTTCTCACATGCACAAGTTTAAACTTGAAGTAAACTCAAAGCAGTCAGACTTTGCAAATATAAATAAAAATTGTGTCTTTAAAAAAAAAAAAAGCAAAACTAAGTATAGCCCAAAATATTTTCAGGAAAAAGGACTTTAGCTCTATAGAATTTTTACCTTGTATTGCTCTTCCAGTCTGATGTCAAATGACATTTTTACTTCATTTAACGTAATTGTCTCTGAAGTATAACAGTGAAACAAACCATTAACAAAATGCTGAGCTGTCAGAAGCAATCACTGGTTTCGGATCCAAACGGGGTGCTTTCCCTTCTGCGAAGGTACTCGTTGTGGTTTCCTGTAGAGGTTCTTTGTGAACCACCCAAAACTTCAAGGGGAGCGTTGCAGCCGTGCGGATCCGACCTGTCCCTCTGAAGCGAGGTGCCAGCGCTCCGTGCGCCGGGGCCTGGGGCTGCCCCATGGACCCCTCTGTGCTCTTCTCCCAAACCAGAGTCTCCACTGACTTTGGTTGTAGCTGGGAGTGACCGTTGCCGCTATAGATCAGGCACAACGAGCAGAGAATGAGAAGTAACCTGTTTGTTGCCTGTCTGAAAGTAAATGACTGAGTTGCCTAGTACTGTACCAGAATGCCCTGGCAAAGTGAAAGATGTATAAACTAAACCTTTTTCCTCCTGAAGCCCCTTCCTCTTTCGTGTGAGTAACTCTTGGCTGAGCAGCCTGAGTTTGCTTTGGGAATACCAATAATAAAATGGGGAGGCTTTGAGAGTTGGAAGGAATTGGAAGTGGGTCAGTGCTTCATCCAGTTGCTCTGGATGGAGCCTGTAGACGGTTTGCTCGCACGAAGCCTCCATTACTGCGAGCAAACCGTCTACAGGCTGCGTGGCCCCCGCCAACTCCCCCACAAGAAGTTCTAGTGGCTTGGTTGTGAACTACTAATTAAAAACTGCATTGATTATTTCAGTTCCCATGTTTTTGATATTTCTTAACTTTTGAGCATTTGATCTGCAGCCTTTAAAGCAAGCTGACAAATGCAGGATTTCTCCCCTGCAGAACCATGGTGTCTTTTGGATCCATCATGGACAAACCAAGGACTTCAATATGCAGGACGGGCTTCAGCCAAGTTAACAACTGTAATTATCCACTAATTTGTCTTGGCCAGCCGCTGGAGGGGGACGAGGCAGATGCTGTGGCAGAGGGTTTTGCAGCCACTGGCTGGCAGGGGGGGAAGTGCAGGTTTGCGGTCCCTCAGGCAGAGCTGTCTCTGCTGATTCCTCTTCAACCTTTTACCCTGTCTTCCCTGCCACCCACCTGAGTCTCCTTTCCCAGGTTTGGAAGGTTTCACAAGCATGACGAAACACGAGGATGATGCCCACTGCCAAATGTCTTGGCTTTAGAGCATACTGTTAGCAAGTTTTGTTTAAGCAGCATCACTTTAGCATGCGGGCCTGAGCACGTGCACGCACTCTCATTCATATGCATGCGGGACTTTCCTATAACCTTAATCCTGGGAATGGTTAAACCCGTCGGGAAGATGATTCAACCCGATATTAAAAATGTCACCACAAATGGAGAATATCGTAGGCCATGTTAGGCAGGATGATCCACGGGTATCCAGTCCCTGCTGTGCTTGCAATACGTAGGAGCAACAGCAGAGGCTCCCAAATTGTTATATAGTCGTTACTTTGAAGTGATAGATGGGAAAGGTGGTCCCTGAAATCTCTGTGTGCCTGTAAATGAAGCGTCTTTCCCCTGGTGTGCACCTGTAGGGTTCTGATGGGGAAGAGCCGCTCCCAGTGGCCCAGTCTGCTGGCATTCCCTATTAATTAGCAAGTAACAGCGGCACTGTCAAAATGAAGATGCGTATTAATTTTGCCTGTTGTTGTGAAAGGTTATGTCAGCTTGCTGGAATAACATAGATTTTATCATGTAGTCGTTTATCATATAGTCACCTTAAATCAGTCTGCAGTTTGACTATACTGAGCTTACTGTCAGTCTGATTGTTTGAAATTATGATTTGTTATGGTGCTTTTCCTACATATTCACCATAATTGGGATCCTACCCCAAAACCTCAGACATAATGTCAGTAGAAAATATTCTTTATATAAATAGAACTACTCTTTCTATAAGTAAATATATGTTTATTGGTTTTAGTATTATTTTGCCCACATAAAACTAAATAGCTTTACAGTTTGCTGTATGGCAAAGTGCATTCAGCTTTTCCAGTAACACTCCTTATAAAATGGATCATACAAAAGCCTGCAGGAATTCCTAGCGCAAAGATAGTGCCGCCTGAATTTTCCCATAGGCAGTGTTTAAAGTCAAACTGGGTTGTGACATTAAATAACACCATATGGTGTGTTCATTCCCTGCTGCCAGAACTACATGCTCAGTGCAGTTTCGGTAGCATTTTACAAGAGTTGATTGATTTTGGGGTGGGTTATAGGTTCTCAGAAGTTAGATGATCTTGAAAATTTTAGTGTTTGTCTTTTAAATACCAGAAGCACAACATTTGCAAGGGCTGTTTGTATTAATATAAAACCGGGGGCAGGGCCGTATGTATGTGTATATATAATTGTGTGCATATAAAAGCTGTGTCAAACCTGTCAAGAACAGAACTTGGAATCAAACTGTACTTCAAAAGTTTAACTTTTGGGGACTTGCGCAAACTATTTCTCTCCTCCAGGTGATTTTCTTTCTAAGGGGATGCCAAAAGCATTAATGCTGACTATCAAAGCTCCGTAAAAGGAGTTTGCCATTTTCGTTGTATTTCTGAACCTTCAAAAATAGAGATTAAAGCACCTGCAGATGCAGTCAGTACATTCCACGCATGGCATGCTTTCCGGCATCCTTTCATTTTGATTGTTACTTTTTTTTTTCTTCTTCTTCTTTATTACAGTTCTTTGAGGTTCCGTTTGACTCAAATATGAACAGGACAAAAAACAGACCACTGGTGCGAGGACAGATCAGGTAAGGCTATGCACACCTGCTCCGGCTAATGAGAAATGAGTCTTCACGTTGCTTTTATCTATCTCCAAGCTTCTCTCTCTCTTCAGATGACAAAAAATAGCAATTTCAGACAGAAGACTTAAGAAAGAAATGCACCTCTCTGTTCTTTCTTCACGTTTATCACTTTCATGTGAGGAGCTTGGGTAATCAGCTGTCCTCTAAAATACTGAACTTCTCAAGATGACAGAATTTCCACATATGTTGTGTATTTCTTCATGTGTGACTACTACATGCACAGCGTGGCAGCACACAGTTGTTATGTTCCACCGAACTTCTGCATTACTTTGTAACAACAAATCTTCAAAATGTCACATCTAAGAACAAGCACAAAAGCGTATATTGTTTTTAGCAGTCACATTTATCTGTTAGATCATTCCTATCTCCCAGCAGACGTGTCTGCAACTCATTTTTTTTAGTGATTTTGTAAGGCACCATGTTGTCTTTGCCTTTTCTACATGTTTAGCATAAAGCTGGGGTCAAAATTCACAGTGACGGCATCTTATGAAAATAAAGTAAAAATTTGTCATCACGCAGTTTATCATCATCCATAAGTACACCCCCCCCTTCTCCCCCAAATAGAAGCCCTGTATTAGCACAGGGATTCCCGTAAAAAAGAAATTAAAAAAATCCCTCATTCACTCTGTTTTCTGGATTATACATCAGTTCAGTTTCTCAAAGGCTATTTTCCAGCTAAAAAAAGCAAAGTGAAAAAGAACATCAACAAAAAACTCTACCTTATTTGCAAACTAAAACTGAAGGCCCAATTCATAAATGATTCAACAAACAATTTTAGTATTACATTTCCATGATTTGTGCCAAGGATTATTTATAACAAAATTATGTTTTCCCTTAGGCTTCTGCGAACAGTTGGTCCTATTTATTTCTGTGTTTTATCCATCACCTTTGGAGGACTGAAAAAAATGTGATGGATGAAATTACAAGAAAATTGAGACAAAATAGTAAAGTGAACCTCGGGGGTAAATTCCCTCTCATTGTAAATAGTTAGAGTAGTTCAATAACATCTTCCGATTTGTTCTCGAAGACGGTGCTAATTACAGATTCCTGAGTTGAGTTAATTTTATTTAAAAACATATTTTAGGGACCACTGCAGTGAGGGCATCTGTTGTACGTAAAGTAAGTCAGCCTTGATTGTGGAGTTCAGGGGAACTGCTCCACTTGCATGTGGTCCTTTAGCCCCGGAAGAAGGAACACCTGTTAGGGAGAAAGATGATGGAGGGATTGATTTATTTATTTATTTATTTTGTCATAGTCTACTGCCATGGCTTGCAGTGTTTCTGGAGTCAAAAATATAGCTGGGAAACTTTTTGTCAGCTTTTGATTCAGAGAGATCAATTTGTTTTAGAAGTTTCCAATGTCCTTAAATGAACTTCCCTGTCATCTGAATCCACCACAGATTGGCAAAACCATATTTAACAGATTTTCTTACTTCTCCCCCTTCATATTTGCTTTCACCACAAAATGGTAATGTTGGGGACTCTGTGTACTCACTCATCAATCTATCTACCTGACTGTCAACAGCTAATTTAAAGTTCTTTAAAGTGTCACTTACCTTGAATAATGTTGAACCCGTTCCCTGTAGACCCTTGAACATGCAGATCTTGACTGGGGTTATTTCTTCTGCGGTGTGCCAGAGGAGAATAATCCAGTGCAAGTGATCTAACCTTGTTATATTTTGCCACGTATTCCCTGGTGTTGCTTGAACTTTTTCCTTCCTGGCTGATTAAATAAAACCCTTAAATGGTTATGCTAAAACTAGTCAAAAACAGGCGATACAGAGATGGATAAATTGTGTGTAAGAGACTGGTGTCTTGGCTCTGGGAAGGAATCCAGAGAGCTTGGGGTACATACAGAGTCCTTGCCCAAATTGTCTGACATTTGAGGTTTGGCATTTTCTTCTCTTTAGCTGCTTCATAGCATGAAATGTTTGCTGCTTTTTTAATTCTGCTGTGTTATGACATCGGTGATAGCCAGTGCAAACAAGGCATCGTTTTATGATCTGTCTTCATTTGCACTCTTTGTAAATATATTGTGATTTCACTTCTTTTTTTCTTTCTTTCCTTCCTTTTAATTTATTTTGCATAATCTTTGTTACAACTGGTCAATATGGGTAGCAGTTTTCGCATGTTCCAGTCCTGAGCTTGAGATCCCTTTTGAAGAGTGAGAAGGTTGTTAACTCTGCATCGTGTTGGCTGCACTGCACCTCCTTGGAAAGGCTGTGAAGTGAACTTCTGTCCACTGAGAAACTGCACTGAGACCAGTGACTTTTTTTATAGAGGCTGTGGCATCACGAAGACAATTCTTAGACGCTTTGAGCTTGGGCCAGAATCAAACTGGTAACCCCCAGTGAGAGGTCCTTGGTGTTACTGAGTCATCCGGTCCCTGGATGAGCTGGCATCTCTGTTTTAAGCTAATTCATGGAGCTGGCTCATTAGGAAATGTCACGCTGTTGTGGAGAAATTATCCCCATGTGTTTCATTTTGTGGCCTGCATTTGCAGCTTCAGCCCCAAGTTTATCTAGGTTTAAGATCAGCTGTCAGTTCTAACTGACTTTGCTTCCAACATTTCTCCCCTTCCTTTCTGCCTGAAGCTTTCCCTTTGAGAAAACAACACAAATCCCCCTATCTTGGCACCACTTGTGTGTGTTCATTGCCCTGCATTCATGTTCATGTGGTTCCCGAGTCCCTATGTCTCAGCCTTTTCCACAAGTTGCCGAGGACTTGCCTCTTCCTTTTCATCAGTGAGGAACCTTGGTGGCTTTCAGAGAAAAGCTCTGCGGCCAGGGCTGCACTGTGGAGTGTGAACATTGTCATGGCCTCTGAGGTCTGGCTGGGGACCGAAGTGTCATTACCTCACTGGTGACGCTCAAGAAGTGTTTAAGTTTAGGCAGCTTTGGCCTGACAGTCACTCCAGGCAGCACCCTGTGAGCCAGGAGCAAGTTCGGCAAAGATCTCTGGAAGGATGGGGCTTAGAAAAGCAGCTGCTCTCCGTCCTTTGTGAGTCCTCTCCGTATTGCATCAGTTTTATGGCTGAAATAGTTATGTGGAGGTTCAGTGTGCCCCTGTTATATATATTTTATATCATTTGGCCTGGACCAAACGGTACAGGCAATGATACAGAAGGACTCTGCAGAGCTGGGGTCTGCTGTACATAGGGGCAAGATTACTTACACCTTATTTGCCAGCCCCAAACCTACTGCCGATGCCCCCAGGGAATCTTCTGACACTGTTGCTAGATTTGTGACAAACAGCACCTGATAGTTCATTGACTGCTTGCTTTACAACGTCCTCTTTAATTTATAAGCCTCTGAAAAAAGTGTTCGCTTTGAGCAATGAGACGTAACCATCCTTATTCTCTATTCAGAGAATAATCAGAGACATGCTGTTGCAAAAATAACAAGAGTAGACCCAAACACAGCATGCCACTAAACGCCATCCATCATTCCAGCCTGCCCACATGTCCTCCTCCCTCCTCTGACCCCCCAAGTCTTGTTTAGAAATACAAACAGCTTGAGATGTTCTTCATACTTCGGCTGCAGTGTTAAACTCATTGAACGTATTTGCATTTTGCATTATAACAACAGCAGATATTATTTTTCCTGCTATGAATTGTTTTTATGTCAGATAAGGAAAAATTTCATGTGCTCACACAACCTTAGATTCAACTGAAATGGCAGCAGCTTTTCCTGGTTTCCTGTTGGGTATGATTTATTCCCTTGCTTTTTAAGGTAATGGACTTAATTTTCCTGCAGATTAATTTAAATAAATCTCTAGTATTAGCTGCAGTAGCTGAGTGAGCTTAGTCTTGAGGATGACAAGTGTCCTGCTCCATTATATTGTACAAAGTGACAGTTTTGATTGCCCTTCTACACAGAACTGCTTACACTCTTGTTAAAAAGCTACTGTTTTTATGAACTTACTGTACTGCTGGATCTGCTATGCTAAGCACTCATAAAAAAACTTAATAGTTGTACAGGAATAATTTTTCATCTTTAGAAAAAAAGTCATCAAACAGCATGTTCTAAATAACTAATTCACGACCATGTAGACACCTTTCTGTTCTGCTCCCACAGGATTTTGCAACTTGCAACTGTTTTCTTTACCAAGTCCTTTGGCATTGGTCTTAGCAGGGGCTGCAGTGTCTGCCTGGGAGCGGGGCTGGGATTTCTCCCTCACTTTACCTCCGGGTTTCATGTCACGCGGCCATGAAGCATGGTACAGGCAGCATCGGAGGGTGGTTCAGGCTGGAAGGGACCTCAGGAGAGCTGTAGAGCAATCTCCTGCTTACAGCAGGGTCAGCTCTGAGGTCAGACCTGGCTGCTCCAGGCTTTATCCAATCCGGTCTCAAAAACCTTCAATATGAGAATAATATGCTATGGAATTTAATTATGTTCTCCTTATGTGAGATATTGCACTCTCCAGCTTGCTTTTCCTTGTGCATTTGAGAAGTTTAAGTCCATTAACTTGGCAGAGGAAGGCACAACACAGATAATGCCTTGGATGCTTCAAAAGAAGTAAATCTTCATGTTTGGTGAATATTTTTTCCTAGAGTCCAACAAACCACTTAGCAATGCACAATGAGCTGTGTTCTGTACATGTGCTTCCCGCTTCTTATGGCTGCGGGTGATGGTTACTGCAACCGATGGAGACAGTAACGCTTTTCCTACTTGTTGACATTTCTGAGGGGAGTGTTGACTTTGGTCAGTTTAAATTATAGGCCAAAACTCTTGAAGAGTCAGGCCAAAAAGAGGTCCTGAGCTACTAATGTTTCTCACTGATGGCTTCTATTTATGAATTGTAGTTATAATTGCAAATATATACGTTGGACAGTCATAAACTGATGGAAAATTGCAACATGTCAAACTCTCCCTATTTATTCAAAACCAGATTGCAACTCAAGACTAGTTCTATGTAAAGCTGAGTTTTCCACTCAGCTGCCTGTAG